TGTCCTGGTATGGGTATACACCACATTTTGTCATTCATCCATTTTCGTATGGATGCTTGTGTTGCCTATGATTAGTGCTGATGCAAGTACTGGGTACATCTATGCCTGTATTTTCATTGGCAAGTGTGAGCCCAAACATCCATCCTCAACTGTTGGATGTGCAGCTTTTGATTCCTTTGAGCAGGGAGCAAGTGAATTATGGAATCAAACCCACTTGAACTGATGAAGGATGTTGCACTGGAAGGAAAGACTAACCTTTTGAAGAAGGAGGAAACTATGAGAGGATAGGAAGAATATCAAGTTCCATAGATAACTCTTTTGCCTTTTTAAATAACTCAAGACAGGCGCCAGTGATATGGATTAGCAGGTAAGGAAGCTTACAATGAGACCAATGACCTGATTTCAATCCCCAGGAGGACCCACATTGTAGAAGGACAGACCTAACACCTAAAATTGCTTTCTGACCTCCACACATGTACCATAGCACAAATGTACCCACATATCTATATGCACAAAACATCTTAACAAATTGGAAATAACTGAAAACATGCTTTGTGAGTTCTTCTGTCTGCCTGTCTCCCTTTCTCTCTGCCTCTCTAGTATATACAGTAGTGATTCTCAATTTGTGGGCCATGACCCCTTTGGGGGTCCAACCACCCTTTCACAGGGTTGTATATCAGATATGCTGGATGTAAGATATTTACATTGCAATTCATAACAGTAGCAAAATTACAGTTATGAAGTAGCAACAAAATAATTGTATGATAGAGGTCACCACAACATTAGGAACTGTATTAAAGAGTCACAGCATTAGGATGGTTGAGAACCAATGACACAGAGAAAGAGCTCCTCTGAGTTTTGTATTAACGTTCCATATCAAGGAATGAGGATATCTGCCTCAGAAATCCTTTGTCGTTTGTCATTGACATTACTGGCAGACATGAGGTTTATATTCAGACTCTACCTGACTAAGATTTGAACACCTGCTATGTAAAACCTAGGTATGAAAAGTAAACTGGATTATACCCACTGAAATTGTGAAGTGGCCTATGTGTAGAAATGTGTTGATGTATTAAGTATTAAGAGAAGTGCTTCCTGGTATTCAGGAAGTCATGGGTTCTCATTCTCTCTCTCTCTCTCTCTCTCTCTCTCTCTCTCTCTCTCTCTCTCTATGAGATAAACAGAGACAGGGTTTACCTTAACCATATTAAAAGGTAGACACCTCAACCTGAGGATATAATAGGGAAAATGTGCTTTACTGGCATCGTTGAAACTAACTCAAAACCAACCCAGTGTGAAAAGTGAGGTGGTTATGTTTTTGTGCACCTCTAGGAATGAGTGTGGCAGTCATGTTCCGTTGTTTGTAATTTGTAATTTTGCTGACATAAGTCTTGATTATACAAGGGGAGATCACAGCTAGTTTAATCAGGCCTCAATGTAAGGACTAAATACTTGGTCACTACTAACCAAATTAAAAAAATCAAATTTTGATTTTTTAAAACTGGAAGAGGTTAATATCATTTCTACAAAGATGACTTTAAAAGTGTATCCACTATATCACCCTCTCTCCAAATTTATATGTATGTACATGTGTGCCACATGTGTATGGGTACCTGAGGAAGCCAGAAGAGGATATCAGATCCTATGCAGCTGGAGTTACAGGGAGTTGACAGCCACCTGACAAGGGTACTAGGAACAAAACTTAGGTCTTCTGAAAGAGAAGCAAATTCTCTTAACTGCTGAGTCATCTCTCTAGCCCCTACAATTTTAAAGATTTTTTTCACCTTTTGAATTTTTTCTAGATCATACGCAACTATTTGCTTGACTTAGAAGACTACAAAGTATCAGTGACTAGGTATTACCCATTTTAAAAAACACGGTGAAGGTTTTGTCTGATTTCTTCTTCAGGATAAAACTGCAAGAGATACAAGAGATGCTTAGCGTCCCAAGGTGACTGCGTTCCTGAAGTCAAGGAACCTGGTATGGGATAATGCACCTTCCAAATAGAACACAGAGAAGAGAAGACCCAGTCCTGAAAAAGACATTCTATGAGCCTTGGATCCTTGGATATTAGTCCTGGCTTGGTAGCTGGCTTAAATCGATTTTCCTCCAGAATTATCCATAGTATTCATGATAATCACACCTGCCAAACCTAAAGAATTGCATCAAATATACTCATGAAAATGGAGATGGTTTTGGAACTATGGCTGGGGCTCTCTGGGAGCTGCTTCAGCATGTTCTAAGCATTTCAGGGGCTTGTGGGTTCTTAGGACACTCTTCTTTCTGCTGAGAATAAATTTTCCAACTCATAGGTTGGCTCTTAGACACCTTGCCAGGAGAAGTCCAGAAACATGGTACAGGTGGCCCTTCCTAGCCCCAGTGCAGTGACCTGAGAACCAGCATGGAGCAGCTCCAAATTCTCTCCCAGCATTGCTTCTTTGATGCTTCCTTTAGATTTCTGTAAGGGCTTTGCAGCCTTCTAGGTCAAGCAAAGAGTTGCTTATGATCTAGAAAAAATACAAAAGGTGAGAAAGAAAAAAGAATAGGTCCATTGTGTAAATGTACCATATTTTCTCCATCCACTCTTCAGTTGAGGGACATCTAGGTTGCTTCCAAGTTCTGGCTATTACAAATAATGCTGCTATGAACATAGTGGAACGGATGTCCTTGTTGTATGAATGTGCATCTTTTGGGTATATGCCTAAGAGTGGAATTGCTGGGTCTTGTGGTAGGCTGATTCCCACAATGAGAGATGCTATCTCAGCCTGGACTCTTGGGGGGAGGGCCTAAGCCCTGCCCTGGATGAAATGATAGACTATGGACACCCCCATGGAGGGCCTCACCCTCCCTGGGGAAAGGAGTGAGAATTGGGGGAGGGGGTGTGGGGGGGTTGGTGGGAGGGCATGGGAAGAGGGGAGGGAGAGGGACTTGGGATTGACATGTGAAGCAACTTTGTTTCTAATTTAAATTTAAAAATAAAAAAATCAATTCCTAAAAAAAGAAAAAAGAATGGGTCAAAATGTGACAGTTGATGAAAGAGGTGAGGAGTGCAGAAGCTGACACACCATTCTATTCTGAGCATGTTACAATTTTTCCATGATAAAAGGCTTTTTAAAATAGCCCCCAAAGACATAGAATCCTCTTTGAATTCAAATGCCTTTAGAGTCTCTGTCCTTCAGTGGCACTGGGAAGCCTCCATTTGTCTAGTAACATATCACTTCCAAGGGGAAATCCCCTTCCTTTGTGATCTTTGATATCCCTGCTCTGTCCTGGTAATAACTTCAACACCTGCACTATTCTAAAACCATGGGTTTTAGAAGCCTCACCTTCTCAGACTTTGGCTATCACAAATATAGTAACAAACATCATTTGGGGCACAGAAAATTCCAACATTCGCCTTGCTGGGGACTGTAAGAGGCTTCCCCATCTGTTGAGTTTTGTAGGAGTCACTCTTGCCATTTAAGACAGAGGAGTTGGTGGTCAAAGGCTGATATGCCTACACCCTCCGTGTACCCCTCTTTCTCTGTCTCTCCCATCTCCCTCCTCTCCTCCTTAATCTTCAGATAGGGCCTAGAGTAACCCAAGTTGTCCTTTAACCACCTATATAGCTGAAACTGACCTCAAACTTCTGATCCTCCTGTCTCTACCTCCTGAGTGATGAGATTACAGACATGCACTGCCATATCGGTCTACACATTACTGGGTATCAAAACCAGGGCTTCTGGCACAGCAGGCAAGCGCTCTATGGACTAGTCTGCATCCCTAGGCCCAGTTCCTCCCATTCTGTTAGGTGAATTATGCAGAAGTGGAGGGGCCCAAGGCAGTGGCTCCAAGTGTGCAAAGCACTCTTCATATACCAAGTGCAGCTCCTTGGGTGCAATCCACACTGAAGTGGTCCTGAGGAGATCTGCTGGTAAGCACCAGCAAGTATCTCTGATTTCTAACTATGGCTCCTATGTGACCTCTTGTTCCTACAGACGTGACTTCCCTGTCTTGATGAAGCTGTACTCTCTGTGAGCAAAACAAGCCTTTCCTTCCTCAAGCAGCCTTTTCACAAGTATTTTGGCACAACACTGAGAAAAATAACTAGACAGAGTCACCACAAGTTCTATCAGAGAGATGTGTTAACTCTTTCCTTTATCTTTTTTTTTCTGAGGGTGGGGGTAGGGGGTGGGGTGGGTTGCAGCCCTGGTTTTCCTGGAGCTCTTTGTAGATCAGGCTGGCCTTGAACTCAGAGAACTACCTGCCTTCTGAGTGCTGGAACTATAAAAGTATGCACCACCACACCAGGTGGTTTTCTGTTTTGGTTTGGTTCCCCTCCCCCCTTTTGTGAAGAATATGTTTATTTTGTTTTATTAAATAGCATTCACTTTTTGAGGAAGTCATGAATAAATGCCTATTCATTCCAAACAGGGTACCAACAACAGACCAAAGAAATTATTCCATCCAAGCCTAGTTTGAGGAGCCAGTGAGCTTCAGTGGAGTTACTTAAGGGGTGAGGGATTATCTATAGGAAAACTAACTATCCACCATGCCTCTACTGGTTTATGCATCCTCAGGAAGAGGCAGGGCTTTTACACCCTCTTTGTCCTCCATGAAGGAAGGTTAGTGGGTCCAATAGTGGGTACCTACTGGGGTCACTGCTGTCCCAAATCTGGCAGCTGGAAGTAATGATCTAAACTCTGCACAATCATGTACTTACTTAATTGACAAAATGCAGAGAACAATGAATGTGACCATAAACTGTAAGATTATGGAAAGGACCTAAAATAAAGCTGAGATTCTGGTGTAGGTAATCACAGCTGCTCTGACATCGGTGCCATGCTTAGAGAACAGCATTTTACAACACAGAGTTTTAGCTTTAAAAAAAAAATGCCCGCCTTAGACTTGGGTAGCTCAGCTTTTCTTTGGCCCAGGAAGAGGACTGAAAGTGAGTTTTGGGAGAGGGAAGGGAAGGTGTCAGAATAAATTGCAGTTCCTCGTCATCTCCCACTACTTACATGTAGGCCAACCCAACAGCCCTCCACGGGTGCCACCTCGTGTTCTCAAATGGGACTGCATTAGAGGAACAGAGCCTTTGTAGATCAGAGTCCCTGGAATATTTCAATATGAATTCCTGAATACCAATACCGGAAGTGCTGCAGGCCCCAATACGGAAAGATTAGCTGGAACAAGAAAACACCTGCGGGTCAGAGAGCTGTGTCTGCCACAAAAGTCCTCCGCGTTATAAAGAAATCTTTCACTGGAGTAAGTGGAGAGAAGGCACAGCCCTTGAATTACTTGTCTAGTGAGGGAGACAGGAAAATGTATGAAAATCCTGTCCGGCGCGCGCCAAGTTAGCTGATAGCCAGGGACAGCAGGCGAGTTGGAAAGCTTCCCGGATTAGATTACAGGGAGCTGACGCTTCAGCATGTGTAGGAGGTCACCAGGCTGGAAGCAGGCACAGATAAATGATCCAGGCACACGGATGAGGGAGGAAAGCAAACAGAAGCTGGGAAAAACTGCCCTGTTTCAACTAGCAGAGTGTAATCAACAAGCACCGGAAATGGGAGGGGAGGAAGACATACAGGGGCAGGTCACTAAGCGTCATTCAGCCACACTCAGCGAACCTCAGCCTGTGGACAGTGGGGCTTGAGGCAAGACACACTACACCACACTCTAGAGAAGAAAGGACTAACCTCCGTCGGTCCATCTGTGACATACTTCCAAACTCGATTGTTTCCGTTTTATGTTTTGTTTTGTTTTTTTCAGTAAACAACCTCCTTTCCTGTGGGAAATAAGGCAGAAAAAAAGAAAGAAGAGAGGAAATGAAGAGGAGACAGATGGGGACAGAGGATGGGAACTGGGAGGAATGAAAAGAGGGAAGGAGAATGGGGAAATGAAGGAGCAAAGAATCCCCCACAGTAACCAGTAGAGCAAGAATGGTAAAACTCGAAAGTGGGTTAGGTTAGAAACCCAAGAACGGCGCCATAGAGGAGAGGATTCTGCAGAGTTTGAGATATATTCCAAAGCTTCTAGAAGTGGCAAAGGAGGTTGGATTGTATTAAAAAAAAAAAAAGTCTTGTAAGAGTATTAAGACTTTCCACTGAGCTCTAGAGGGCCCCACATCACGTGTGTTCTTTCCTAAATGAGACTTGCCTTTGGGTGAGCCAGTGTGAGAAGAGTTCACTGGGCAGCTTTGTTTCCATGCCTTATTTCACATCCCTGAATCTCATGTCTTCCCTTGACTCTCTGGGTGACTAAAGGACAGCTCGGGGTTAGATCAGACACTGAGAACATCCCTAGGAACCAGTCAAATAATCACGTGGTAATTATCAAAAGCAATTCTGTCACTTGTGAGATTTTCAGGGTTTTGTTTTGGGCACATCATCAATTGAATGCCATTTGTATAAAAAACTCCCATTCCGTTTCCTTATTTACTTTTAATTTTTTCTCATTACTTATAATAAAAAAACATAAAATGTGAATTGATGCTGAACCCTAACAAGAAAACTTTACCCGTCGACAGGCAGAGATGTATTGCCAATATGCATTTTATAGCAAGATTTATAATAAGTATATTTATAGTATTTTGTATGCTGAGAATTGTAAGGAATCCAACAGAAAATGTTGCTCATTGTGAGTGTGTTTGTGTACCCACAAGCATATGAACACCACCACAGTGCACACACGGAGGTGAGCGAGCATTTAACCTGTGGGAGTTACTTCTCTCCTTCCACCTTTACGTGAGTTCTGAGAATAGAATTCAGATCATCAGGCTTGCAAGGTGTACTTTACCTGCTGAGCCCTCTTATTGCTCTCTCCAAATATATATATATATATATATATATATATATATATATCAGCAAATTATTGTTACAGGAAATGTTGATGCCAGGTATTTCAAGGATTTACTTGTGAGTCCACACCCTCAGGGTATCAGTCCAAACCTGAAGTGACTCAGAGCTGGGGGGAAAAGGGCAAGGGAAGCAGTGGCAGAGTTCTGAGAAGCCAGCTGCCTGTTTGTACCGGAGAGAAGCAGCAGCCTTACCCCAGAAGTGAATCAGTTATCTGAATGCAGACAGTCTATGTGCAGCAGGTGGTTCCAACTTTCCTGCTCCACCCCAGCCTGCCTTGGGACAGAGATGAGACACAGTAGTGTCAACCACAGGCACAGGACAGGAGCTATGGAACTCTGTCCCTCAATACTGATTGCTACTCCCTCCTTACATCTCCACATCACTGAGGAGAGGACCACTACCCCAAACAGACCACTGTCTTCTTCCTGGTTCTTCACTGGCCTGACAGTTTAGAGTGCAGGTTTCTGGCTTTTTCCAGTTCCTCTTCCTGCCCCTCTCTCTTATCTGTAGCCTTTTTACTTCCTTCTCTTTTTGTCCCATTCATTCGTCCACCAGTATCAGCATGAGCCCTGAGTTCAATTGCTGTTTGCCTGAGGGACCTCCAAATATACAACACCAGGCTAAATCTACAGCCAGGACCACCCATGGGGTCTCTATGGCAACCAACCTATCCTTTGCTGGGGTGTTACTGGGGCTGAATTTCACCCACAGTATGGTGGTAACTGAGCAGCCATGTCATTTTCAGGACTAGTGGTCTTTGAAAATGTGAAGTCGGGCATTGTCAAGTTGTCCACATCTACTCTCAAGAGCATTTGTGTGTGTGTGTGTGTGTGTGTGTGTGTGTGTGTGTGTGTGTGTGTGTGTGTGTGTGTGTTTGTTTTTTGGTCTCTTGAAACATCTAGGGCCCAGCTTAGCCTTGAATTGGCTATGTAACTGAGAATGTCCTTGAACTCCTGATCTTCCTGCTTCCCAAGGGATGCCATAACCAGTGCAAGAGCAGTTTTAATCATCTAAATGTTTTTATTCCTTTGTCAATTCATTAGAAAGTAGTGTTCACCCATCTGGTTTTGCATCTATCGAGTGAGCACTTTGCTGTGTCACCCTGCTACTCTTGTACAAAGATCCATGTCCTGGAAATGATGCATCTTCTTATGGGCTTTTTTGAGACATGGTCTCGTGTAGCCCAGGCTGGCCTCAAACTGTGTAGCTGAGAATGTCCTTGAACTGATCCTCTCATCACTTACACTTTCTGAGTTCTAGAATTACAGGAATGCACCACCTATTTTATGAGGTACTGGGGATCAGACCTGAGGATTTGAGCATGCTGGAAGTTTCCTACCAACTGAGCTACATTCTTGGCCAGCCTGATTTTGTTTTGTTTTTCCTGTATTTTGTAGGGTTTTTTTTTTTCTGTAATATGTAAGGACGTGAGCCTTTTTTTTCCTGGGAGCGCTGCTAAACAATAATGGGTACCAGGTAGTCCCCCAAACTAGACTCCTTCAGTATGTGCAGTGTTTCCATCTGACCCAAACCAGAAAGCACTGAAAGGAAGACACCTCTAAACCTCTGGCTTGTCTGCCATCCTTCCAGCTTCCGGGTACACTCTGTGCCTGCGAGGGCTCCTCGAGCACCGCAGACTGCCTGGCTCCAGGCCTGCTTTTAGCACCATTACCAAGGCTAGGTCACGGCTGGCAAAGGACCCAGCAATTACGGTCATTAGCAAGATGAGGCAATCTTACAGGTAAGGCAGGTTCCAGCTGCTTCAAAATATAAAATGTCAGACTGTTTACAGAGGTTTCCCCTAGGCTCGGGGATGCGTGTCAAGCAAGATGACAAATACCCCTGGCAGGCCAGGTGGCTCTTCTTCATCTGTCCTCCCACTCCACACCCTTGCTTCCTAACTCTTTACAAACTAAGTTCTTGGACTGCCTGACAATCTTGGAAATCTCCTCCTACTCAGTAAGAAGATGTAATACAAACAAAGTAAGTAAAACAAACACCACTCAAACAGGCTGCCAGGTGAGCTAGTGCAGGAACATGTAGCAAGAGGCTACAGGACACTATCACAGTGATAGACAACATCCGGCTCAATCCTCCCCCTCCCCTTACTCCTCTCTCATGATCAAGGCACTGTGACTCCAGTCTGCAGACTTTTCTCCACCCCATGTTCCAGGACAAGGGACAGGCAGGTGGGTAGCCACTGAGAAAAGAGGAATCTCAGTAACACGGATGCCTGATTCTTGGTCCCTGGGTTACAGATCTCTTTGTCTAGATCCCTTTGTCTGGTTCTCTGCCCTGATGACCTGCCTGGATTTCCTGATAGAGCTAGTCTGACTTTCCCATTCCTGTGTGATTCCCTGGTACAGAATTCCTGCTGTTTCTTATAGGTTCTCCTTGGCAAAAGATGATGTCCAGAGTTTATCTTGGCTTTTAGTCTTCATCATGACCGAAGTTAAAACAGAAATTGGAGTCAGGCGTTGGCGGTGCACACCTTTAACCCCAGCACTCAGGAGGCAGAGGCAAGCAGATTGCTGTGAGTTTGAGGCCAGCCTGGTCTACAGAGTGAGTTCCAGAACAGCCAGACCCATTACACAGAGAAACCCTGTCTCAAGAAACAAACAAACAAACAAGCAAACAAGAAACAACAGAAATTGGGAACCAGTGAGATGACCCAGCAGGGAAGTGGGGAAAGGTGTTGGTGACTGATGGATGTCAGTTGAAAAAAGCCTGATGACTTCAGTTCAATACTGGAAACCTGTATGGTGGAAAGAATCAGCTTCATCAAGTTGTACTCTGGACTCCACATGCATGGTGTGGTGTTCTTGTCCTCTCTCTCTCTCTCTCTCTCTCTCTCTCTCTCTCTCTCTCTCTCTCTCTCTCTCAAAAATTGGGTCATTTACAGTGTAGGTAATGCCACCATCCAGCTGCATATCAAGATACCATGTTATATCATATTTTATGTCTGACCACATTTTTTTGTCAGTGCATTCCATCTCTGCTCTGGAAGTCATGATATTGGTATGACATGAGCAGATTAATCAGAACTACTGGGAAAGCCATGTTATCATGTATGTGAGGATATGTGAAGTCTGTCCCTGCCATTCCACTCATCCCAGAGGGCCACCACTCATCTGGAGCTACCCACGGATACACACTTGGAAACAATCTCTCAGGTTTCACAGCCAGGTGTCCAGTGAGCCTATCTAATTGCAGACTCTCTATGCTTTTGACCTGCTCCACTTAGTTGGAGTTAATTGTTCCCTACTCAATCATGTCACAAGATAACCAGAGGAGGTTGTTATTGTAGCACAAAAGGTAAGCCTTCCAATTTGATGTCCTAATGCATTCTGCATAACACTGAGCAAAAATGACTCCTAAGTGGCTCAAAATGAAACTCAGTCTAGTATAATCACCATGTAATGAAAAGAATATAATTCAAAACTATTAAATTAGTAAAAATTGACCATATTTGAAAGCTAAGGATCTTCCATTTAAGATAAATCCTCTTACGGTGGCTTTGGGGGTCTTGCTCAAACCTCATCAAAGGTGAGTTCCTTTAAAAGTTCAACCAAGCTGTGTCAACTCCTTGACTTACTAATACTTTCCATAGCTTGTTGCTCTCATTTAGAGCTCTTTAGGCCTAGACCCAGTTAAAGTACTTTTGAACCTTAGGTCCTTAAAGAGAACTTTTCAACAATATGCAGTAAGTTTCGTCCCGTCTCTTCTCAGCAGCCTGCAAATGCTTAGCCACTCCTGCTCTGGACACACTGAAGGATGGATAAGTGAGCTCAGAAGCTACATGTTTTTCTCACAGTTTAAAAGCTAACAGAGTTCAGGGTATTGGTCATGGGGTGTGGCTAACCTGCATGAGACCCTAAGGTTGAGCCTTGGGACCCTCAGAAAAAAAGATAAAAAGAGTTTTGTTGTTTCCTCCTGTGATCTTTTGAAACATGTCCACTAGCCCCCATGTTTCAGTCTTTATAAAGAAAGGCTGGGGGTTTAGCTCATTTGTTATGGTGCTTACCTAGCAAAAACTAAGTCCTGAGTTGGATTTCTAACTTCAAAAAAACTGGCTCATTCTTCACTGCCTATCAACTTGGGAGGCAAACCTGGGCTACATGAGACCTAGTCTCAAAAATAACTCTGTACAGGGTAGCCAGAAACTTAGCATATTGAAATGAAAGTACAAAATCTATCTGTCATCCTCTTGCTCCTCCCAGCTTTCAGTCTCAGGCAGTGAATAATGGGTTGAAAGGCCCCAAGGAGGTTTCCCAGAACTGGACAACAAAACAAAGGGACCAAAATGCCATTGAAGAGCTTGGTGTGGAGCTGGAGGCAGGAGACACAAAGATGCTGCATCCAGGATGGAGGAAGGGAAGGAGGGTCCTAGCAGACACAGAAATAGTCCAACCCGGAAGTCTTCATTTCTGGAGAACACATATACAAATTCTCAATTTTTAATCTCACAAGAGCCCTGGAGTTCATAAAAGGAGGGATGTGTTCACTTTGACGCTCCCCCAAAAGAAATCAGCCCACTTCATAAACAATTAATGAAAACAAAAAAAAAAAACAATTGGACTTCATAAAATTAAATACTCACAGAAAACTGTCAAAAAATAGATGAGACATGGATTGTAAGAAAAAAATCATAGCATATAAGACAAAGGATTTGTGGATGGAATACATAATGAATTCTTAAAATTCAGTAAGGATATAAACCCAACTTTTAAGAATGGGCAAAGAATTTAAATGCCATATTAAATCTTATCATCAAGTAAGTCAATTAGCAAAGCTTACCATCATGAGCCTGTAAGGAAACATGAATCTAACCTCTCTGTGCCCTACATAGTTAAATCAACTGACACCACCAAGTGCAAAGACGTCAGAGCAACTGGAACTCTCACCTGTACTGGCAGAAAGTGGAAAGGCATGGTCACTCTGGAATAATCCAAGGGTTCTCATAAATATAAATACAAAAATCCCCATACGGTTCACAATTCTACGATCAGCACTGTACTCAAGGTAAATACAGATAGTCTAAGGAGGTGTAACTCAAATTTCATAGCAGGTTCATTCATAATAACAATGCTGAAAAGAACTCAAATGCCTGGTCAGAGGGGAATGGATAAACACCCCCAATATCCACAAGTGGAACCCTAATCTGTACTGAAAGGGTGAAATTGTTAAGATGGGAAATAGCACAGGAAACTATAAAACATTACATCATGTAAAAGAAGCCAAACACAAAAACAGTCCTTACCTCATGACCTGTTTATGTGAAATTCTTAAACAGGCAAAGTTAGTCTTGGAAGAGCAGAAAAAAGGAATCAGTGACTTCCAGGGCTGGAGTCTGGAGAGTGCTGCACAGGGCAGGAGGGGTGTGTGCAGGGGGTAAGAATATTCTTCATCTTCAATGTGCTGGCTTGTGGTTACAGAGGGGTTTTCAACTACAAAACTCATCAAACAGAAAACAACCAAAACACCCATTATCAGATGGTGCATTTAAAATGGGTACAAACTTCACCCCAACTAAATTATTTTTAGAAACAATCAGCACCCTTTGTTTTTCAAGAGAAAAATGAGTTATTTAAGATTTGAGGATGGGACGGCTTGGTCCCAAGAGAGGAATAGTGCACATGTGTAGCATGGGACAAGCCCCCCAAAATAAGGAGAGGCTTTGAGGAGAGTTAGCCATTTCATTTAAAAATAGACTTCATTCTTCAGAGTAGTTGTGGGTTCACTGGGCAGGAGATAAAGATATTTCCAGTTTAATCTCTGTACCCCACAAACATGCACCCTCTCCCCACTAGCAGCACCCAACATCTAGTGCTCTGCTTGTGAAAACTGATGAAATGGCATGCAAATGTCACTATCACCTGAAGACCACAGTCCACACCTAGTTCACTGCCGGTATTGGACACTTTATAGGTTTGGACTAACATACAGTGACATGTACCTAGAACATTATGGCATCAGTCAGAGTGTCCACTGCTCTAAAATCCCTCTGTGCTTTGTTCTCTTATCCATCTCTCTTCACCCCTTACAACCTCAATGCGCCAGCAGCCCACTGATGCATGCTTCCCTTCTCAAGGTGTTACACAGTTGAAATCATACAGCCTGCACAGTACACACACTGGATTCTTACTCACAGTCATAGTTACAGCGCCTCATCTTTTCATCAGCTGGTAGGTCTTTTTTTTTTTTTTTTTGCATTGCTGAAGTGTCAATGCCTACATGTACTATAGTTACATCGTTTATCCATTTACTATTGCATTTACCTACTTACCTTCTGTATTACCTATTATTTTCATACCTCACAAAAGCAATTTATAGAATGGTGAGAAGGGTTTATTTGACTCTCCTACCAGAGGTGGCAAAGACTTGATGTCAGGAGTATGAGGCAGCTGGTTACATCATGTCTGCAGTCTGGAAGCAAAGAGAGGTAAATGCAGCTCTCCTGGTGTTTCCTCCCCTTAATTCAATCTGGGGGCTCAGCCCATGAAAAGGTGCTGCCCACATTCAGAGCAGGTGCTGCCTCCTTAGTAAAAGTTTCCTGGGAACACCTTTATGGAAATTCTCATGGGTGAGTCTCCTAGATGATTCTGAGTCCAACCAAATAGACAGTGACAATGAACCATTACTTCTATTAAAAGGTATCCTAGTTGTTGCAAAGTTTTGGCAGTATGAATAAAGCTGCAAATATCCATGTGCAGGGTTTTGTGGTTATGTGGATTATTTCATTATTGTTAGGGGGCTTGGTTTTCTTTTTCATGGTGCTGGGTATCAAAGTCACACACAAATGATAGGCAAGCACCCTAGTACACCCCAGCCCAAATGTGAAGAATTTTGTGTTGGCATTTTTAATCAAGTTGTGTAACTATCTAAGAGTATAGGGATCCCCTGTGATTGAATCCAACAGTTTTAGCCATTAGACTTATCTACTTGGAGTCTACAGAAATTCTTCAGTTACAATTTTGATTTCCCTACCCTTGTATAGACTTTAAGTACTGGTCTTTAAGGCAGGAAATGGAAGAAGCCAGGGAAAAAGGGAGTTGAAGATCTTGGTTCTGAATTGGCTGAGTTTTATTTATATAACTCTGAAAGGGCAGTCACTCCAAGTCCAGGAAAGCTTCAAGATGTCTAATTATCAGAATGTAGAAAACAAAAAAATATGATTAATAAGTACAAGAGGTGAAACTCTTTTTTTTGAGACAGGGTTTCTCTATGTTGCTTTGGCTGTCCTGAAACTAGCTCTGCAGACCAGGCTGGCCTCAAACTACACAGGTCTGCCTGCCTCTGCCTCCCAAGTGCTGGGGTTAAAGGCGTGAGCCACCACTCCCCATCTTGAGTCTCAGTGTTTAAGCTATAACATTACCTAAGACACACACACACACACACACACACACACACACACACAAAACGGAACTGTACTCCACCAAAGAACTTCGAATCAGAGAAAGCAGCCATTTCAACAATGGTGACAGAGGTGTTCAAAGGCAGCTCTCCACTTTCCAAGAGCAAAGTGGACAGTTCTTCCCTCCTTTTTCCTTTCTTCCCAGATCATTAGATCAGGAACCACCTATAATATCCAGATAGCTCTCACCAGCTGAACTTCTGCCTGTGTCAGAAGGTATTGCTCTAGTACCAGAATAGTGGTATATCCTGATCCCAGTAGAGGGCAGCAAGCCAACTTCCACCACTATGTGAGTTACCAGGAAGGGCCCAACTACAGACATCAGGTATTAGTCAGAGCTCTGGGCTGTGGACTACAGGATCCACCCCAGCTGCTGTAAACAGAAAGGTGCCTATTAAGGGTTAAAGTCAGATCACAGAACTGCTGGAGGCACAAAGAAAGCAAACACTGGAAGGAGCCTCCCAGAAGGACTCTCAAAACCACAACAGAGACCCATGTATTCAAGTCACCTTCTGCTTCAGCGTGATCAGGAAGCTTCAGAAGCAGGAAGCAGCTACCCCTGTCACCTCCAGGAAAACATCTCCCAGGTCAAGAAGCCACTAGCAACTTCCAGTTCTACACAGCACTACCATCTCTCTCTACCAAATTCATTAGTACATGCAAAATAAATAAAATGCATGCATGCACAGGCATACACACACACACACACACACACACACACACACACACACACACACACACACACAACTTGTGGAAAGTAATTCACCTCTCCTCTAGCCACACCGGAATCTGGGAAACACCATTTGTAACCAGCACCTCTTAAAACAGAAGGTAAACATATCAATCTATATGTCCTCTGTTTTTGCTGGACCATAGAAGACCAGAAGACAGGCTCTCACTACATAGGTCTCGCTGACCTAGAATTAATATGCAGACCAGGCCGGCTGGGAACTCACAGAGATCCGCCTGCCTCTGCCTCCTGAGCACTGGAATTAAAGACATACACCACCTGGCACACGCCTTTAATCCCAGCACTCAGGAGGCAGAGACAGGCGGATCTCTGTGAGTTCAAGACCAGCCTGATCTACAAGAGCTAGTTCCAGGACAGCCTCCAAAGCCACAGAGAACCTCTGTCTCAACCCCCCCCCCCAAAAAATAAGACGTACAGCACCACACCCAGCCTGTTTATGTTTGCTTGTTTTTTTTTGGACACTGTGAATTGTTGAAAAAAAATTTTTGTCTCCAAAACTCCTTACAGAGCCATGGACAAGAGGCTTGGCAAGTATGTGCACTTTTCTGCATTATTCAGAAAAGTGTATTATTTCCCTTCTTCCATTTTTGTTCCAAGCATGCTTCCTTTGGTATTTGGGGCTATCTAACCGGTTCTCTGACACTCCCCCCCTTCCATGGGATGCTTGTCCTCCATACGGCTTGCTGACCTCCAGGAGGCTTAACTCAACGTGGCTTTCCTTTTTTCTTTGGCTTGTCTTCCTTAATATCATATTTTATTAATTCTCTGAGGCTTTCATACAACATATTTTGATCACATTCGCCTGTAACTCCTCCCTCAACTCTTCCCATGAGGCATCATAGACCATTTTCCCACCTTACCACTGAGATACCAGGAGTTAGACAGCCTCCCTAGGAGGTAAACAGACAGGAAGTGGGGCGCATGGCTAGGCACTAAAGATGGCGGTTTTCCAAGCTTTCTAGCTTCTTGCTCACCCTCTTGACCTGAGACAAAAGCCTCATAGCTTAAAAGAAAGTCTTGGTAGGCTTTTGTCTCCCATCAGCTGATGGACTGGATCAACAAGTTCAAGACTTGCTCAGGTCATGTCAAGAAACAGCTCTTGACTATACAACCAGTCTAGCTTTCTTCAAAATGACCAACCCTAAGTTAGGGGAGGAAAACTCTTCAAAGGTTTTAAAACCCTGAGCCCTCGAGGAAAGACTAGTTGGATTTTTAGGCTCTCTGAAGCCCACCAACCCCACTGCCCATCCCCCACCCCCACCTTTGCAGAGGGTGTTTTTTCCCCCCAAGTGTCCGCTGCATGCCTGTGTTTCCTTGTCCCCCAACACAACTTGCTTTAGCTGTTAATTCTGTCTGTGGTGTTTGGGATTTCTCTGCTGCCACCTGTTTTGCTCCCGATTGTTCCTGCCTTTTAATTCTTCAACTGGTGGGGAAAATGAAGCCAATCAGTATCCCCTAGACCGTATCACGACCACTTTTGAACTTCTTTTTCTGTAACTCACCAAGTTCAGTCTGTGCTGCCCATATACTCACGAGTGTGGGGCTATCCACTGGAGGACAACTGACCTACCAGTGGCCACATCCTTAAAGTAAACTGAAGAACCACTGATAGTTGATGACTAGGGATGGGGGTCATTATCTAAAATGTGGAGTGGGCTTGTGCAGGTAGCCACAGCTGCTATGAGTGCAGAAGGCCTGCCATGTGCAGAAGACAGTTTTGTTATGGCCCTCCCTGACCTTTGGCTAGTACAGTCTTCTGTTCCTCCCCTTGCAAGATGGGCCCTGAGCCTTTCTGGGGGAGTGTGGGGGGGGTAGTATAAATGTCCTATTTGTAGCTGAGCACAAGAATGACTTTTTTTTCCACCTTTTCCTCCTACTCTCCATTCTCCTCCTCCAGATAGCTGCTGAGATTTATAGTTTGCCGGACCTTGGATTTTTCTTCTAACTTCTAGCAAAACTTGATTAAAACAAAAAAACAACAAAACTCCATGGCACTGCTTCCAACTTCTCAAAGGCTCAAGGCCCTTAGTAGGGATACAGTCATAGCTTCTTAGGCTATCACACAAGACATCTGTCCAAATTCCAATGAGAGATTTCCAGGTGCATCCATTTAACCTAGAGCACAACAATCCCCAGCTACAAGAACCACTCCCCTCAGACAGGCCAATTTAGGAGATTCAGCAACTAACTGGTCTGACTCCTTCTGTTCCTTGAAATTCATTAAGTAGCTCTCGTAATCTCTAAGACACATGGGTGCAGAATATCTTTTTTTTTTTTTTTTTTTTTTTTTTGGTTTTTGGTTTTTACGAGACAGGGTATCTCTGTATTGTTTTGGAGGCTGTCGATCCAGCCTGGGCTCGAACTCACAGAGATCCGCCTGCCTCTGCCTCCTGAGTGCTGGAATTAAAGGCGTGCGCCACCACCGCCCGGCTCGGGTGCAGAATATCTTACAGGCAGAGATAAAGTCCTTGGATTTATAATCAAGAGGCCTGAGTTCAAGTCCTAACTCTCTGATAATTTACTTACATGGTAATTTTGATCAAGTCATTCACTTAACTCCTTGAGATATTAGTTTTCTCATTCCTAAAACAATCCAGCTATTAAACAATGCCAACCCTTCCTGTCCATGGATTTTACATCTTCTGATTTAGTCAGCCACAGACTTAAAGGTAAAAACATGTAAGTCTGGTTGCGGTGATATATACCTATAATCCCAGCACGGAGGATGTGAGGCAATTACTGTGAGTGGGTTACATAGCAAGGTCCTGTTTCAAGTAAAATAAATAAAAGTCATAAACATGTACAGGTTTCTCATCTTGCCAGTCTCCTCTAAATTATATCATAACAACTATTTACAAAGCACTTACATCATATCTGGTATTCCACGTAATCTAGAGTTAAGTTCCAGGGTATGGGGGATGTGCATAGACCAAATTCAAACACAATGCAATTTTATATGAGGAACTGAAAATCTACAGTTCTGGCCAACTTTGAGGGTCCCAAACCCTCAAAGGCCACTAAGAATACTGAGAAAAGACTATATTTCATAAAGCTAGCAGGAAAAGCAAAGGCAACACACTGAAATTTTGTATAAACAGGACCTAGTGGCACAAGCCTGGAATCCTGACGACCAGTAAGATGCAGTAGCAGGATTCTAAATTGTCATGGCTAATCTTTGTTGTCAACTTGACATACCTGTGAAGAATAAACCCCAGTTGAAGAATTGTATCCATCAGATTGACCTGTAGGGGTATCCACGGG